CGTTGTAAATAGCATAAGGCAACCTGGGTTTGAAATCTTTCTGGATTGTTACTTTCTAGATGAGATCCCAACTCCTATTCATAAGGAGAAAGCACCCCCATGCTTTGACTTTAATGTCATGGGACTACTCTTTGGGCGCGAAAAGGATAGGCCAAAATATATAGAGGATAATTCCTCGCTCATTCAAACGGTCCTACAAAGAGAGAACTTTGACCCTTCAAAGCTCATCACTCCAGCAGAGGGTTTAGTGCAAGGATGGCGCAAGACGGTTAAAGTGAATACTCCGAGTGGTAGAAAAATTTCAATAACGACAGGACAAGGACCGATGTTTGAAGAATCTTCTGAGTCGAAGTCAAAGTCTGAGTCTTTTCCTGTAGAGTCTTCCAAGTCCTTAGCTGTAGAATGATGAGTGGCATTTATGCCACTCTTTTATCCTTTTTCTCTAAGGATTCTCCCCTCATTTGCACTTGTTTGGCCCTTTTTCTAAGCATTTTTACTTAGTTTTGCTTCCTCTTTTCTTTCTCCTTTATCTTCCCTTTTCTTAGTCTTCTCGCTTTGTTCTTATTGTGATTTTCATGCTTATGCTTTGTAGGAACCATCGGGATTTTCAAGAGGAGGAAGCTAAGCTCAAGGGAAGCTGGAGGAAGTATGATTCAGAAGAGGTTCGGCCAAACCTCCTGAAGGTGTGGCCGAACCTGCTCAGTGGTTCGGCCGAACGTCGAGGCAAGGACAAGATAAAATTTGGCAGTTTTGCAGGAGTGGCCGAACCACAGGAGTTCGACCAGACTAGGATTAGGGAGGTTCGACCGAACCTACCCATGGTTCGGCCGAACCTACCCTGTAGTCCGGCCGAACCTACCCTGTAGTCCGGTCGAACCTTCCCATTGTTCGGTCGGACCTCTCCTTTTATCAAGTGGCTCTGTACGGACTACATAAGTCCCATCTTAGAACGTTTTGAGGGAGGAGATTAACTTAGTTTTAATTTTTCTACATTTTTAGCTTAATCTAGAGAGAGAAACACTATTAGTCTTCATTGGTAGAGAGAGAAAGTGTGGTTTTCTTCATTGATGAACTTGGATTTTGAAGAAAGAGTTTGTTCAATCCTTTGTAGACCTTCATCTTCAATTAATGAGCAATCTCTTACTCTTTCTCTTTACCTTTGTTTTTTATTTTTCTTATTTGCTTTGATTTTTTCTTCTTTGCTTATTAATCATGTTGATGCTTATTGATTTGATGATTGATATTGTTTTCAATATGATTTGTGAGTAGTCACCTAGCCAAGGGTGTGGGGATGGTGTAGTTGCTAATTGTTCATGCTTATAATGTTGGGGTTATGTTAATGGTGATTAAAGTATTTGCATGCTTGATATTCTTTGGTCTTCTTGCAAGTGCACATTGTTCGTTGATCAAAGATGAGTCTTTGCTAACAAGTAACGAAAGTTGACTTAGTTGAGATTCATTACTATCGATAATTCTTTGTTTGCACCTTCTAATATATGGTTCTAATGTGGAAACATAGAGGCTATGTTAGGAGAAGCCAATTAACCCCGGAAGGCGGTTAGATTGGACCCCTTTACTTCGGTATTCATGCATGTTTAGTTTACCATTGATTTGCTACTTTGTTATTGCATGATCAAGCGTCAACTTCACCTACCCATTTCCCTTGGTGCCTACCTATATTAATTTTAATCCATTTCGTTCTTAGTTTAACCTCTTAGTTATTCACACTTCTTGTTCTGAGATAGCTTAGACCCTAGGTAATGAATGCAGTGCTTAAGCATTTCTCCCTGTGGTTCGACCCCTCTATTTACCCTATACTCTTATTAGGTCAGTAGAGAGTTATAAATTCATTTGATTTAGGTGTAGTCGCTCAACGACATGATTATTGCCTTCTCATAGCACCCCCTATTTCTAATTCTTCTATTTTTACTCCTAGCTGATAGTTAGCAATCAAGTCCCTGAGGACATTTCTTTATTCGATGTAATGGTTTCAGAATTTAATAATGTGTCTTCTTCCTCTTACTCCTCGTGTTTTTTTCATTAACCCAAGATGACGAGCATTGCTTAACTAACAATGAAAATGATAAAGAAATTATTAAAGCAATGGAAAAACTTGAAAAGAAAACACCAGTAATTGAGGATACTGAAATAATTGATATCTCAAATGATTCAACCATTAAAAGAGAAGTTAAAATCGTATTAACACTTAATAAACAAGAAAGAACCGATTTGATTAATCTACTCAAAGAATTTATCGATGTATTTGCTTGGTCGTATGAAGATATGCCAGGCATTAATAGAGAAATAGCTCAACACACTATACCACTAATTCCAGGAACGAAACCTGTAAAACAAAAGCTGCGTCGAATGAACCCGACGCAACTCTTAAAATAAAAGAAGAAATTCAAAAGCAAATAAATGCAGGTTTTATTAGGGTATCCAAATACCCCGAATGGGTAGCAAATGTGGTCCCAGTTTCGAAGAAGAATGGAAGGGTAATAATGTGTGTCTACTATTGAGATCTAAAAAAGGAAAGTCCAAAGGACGACTTCCCTTTACCACACATCGATATCTTAGTAGATGATACAACAAATCATGCGCTTCTCTCGTTTATGGATGGATACGCGGGGTACAACCATATTCTCATGGAAGAAGAAGACATGGAAAAAATGACATTCATAACAACTTGGGATACTTACTGTTACACGGTAATGCCATTCGGGTTGAAAAACGTGGGTGATACTTACCAACGAGTAGCAACTGCCCTACTCCATGACATGATTCACAAAGAGGTTGAGGTATATGTAGATGATATGATTGTGAAGTCAAAATATTTCCCAGGACATCAAGTAGCCTTAAGAAAACTTTTCGAAAGGCTAAGAAAATACAACATGAGGTTGAATCCATCCAAGTGTGCTTTTGGAGTCACCTTAGGCAAGCTCTTGGGATATGTCATATGCTCTAGAGGAATAGAGATAGACCCAACCAAGATAAAGGCAATCATGTCAATGCCACCGCCCAAAAACGAGAAACAAATTCGAGGATTTATCGGCCGGTTGCAATATATAAGTAGGTTCATATCGAAGCTAACAATGATATGTGAAACAATATTCAAGAAACTCAAAAAGAATGTGTCAGTAATATGGGACGACGAGTGTCAAAAAGCCTTTAAAAAGATCAAAGCCTATCTCGCAAATCCTCCTGTATTAGCACCAACGCTTCTAGGGATTCCTCTTAGGTTGTACTTAACAGTCACCAAGGAGACAATGGGGGCTATGCTTGCACAAGAAGTAAAAGGAAAAGAAAATGCAATCTACTATATAAGCAAGAAAATGCTCGAGTATGAAGTACGCTACACACCGCTTGAGAAATTGTTCCTCGCATTGGTGTGGGCCACAACCAAGCTAAGACATTACATGCTCGTGCATACAGTCTTTGTAGTTTCTCGAATTGATCAACTTAAGTATTTGTTCGAAAAGTCTACACTCAATGGGCGCATATCAAGGTGGATAGTCAATTTAGCCCAATTCGATGTAAGATTCATTCCTTAAAAGGCTATTAAAGGATCTGTGGTCTCGGACTTCCTAGCGGATTTCCCAATAGAAGATTCGACGCCAGTACATGAAAACAAATTTCCAGACGAAGACTTGATGGTCATAGAAGATGATACTTGGACTTTATACTTCGATGGAGCCTCAAACCAAAAGGGATGTGGCGTTGGAGTACTATTAGTATCACCTAAAGAAGAACATGTTCCAATCTCTATAAAGCTAGATTTCGACGTTACCAACAATGCTGCTGAGTACGAGGCATGCGTGGTAGGCCTTGAAACAACTTTGGCATTGGGAGTGAAGAAATTGTGAATATTTGGAGACTCTTCGTTGATCATCAATCAAATATCTAAAAGATGGAAAGTAAGGAGTGAAAGTCTAGCCCCTTACCAAACCTATCTGGAAACTCTCACCAACCAATTGGAAAAGGTAGAATACACCTATCTACCTAGAGAGGAAAATCAATTTGCTAATGCCATGGCAAGACTAGCCTCAATGGTTAGGATTCCTACGAAAATTGAGCAAATGCCTCTAACCATGGAGAAAAGGCATAAACCAGCTTATATTCAAGCTATAGAAGATGATGAAGTGATCCAAGATGAAGGAGAAGAAGAGGAAGAACCATGACACACATATATACTCAATTACGTCACCAAAGGAGAATATCCTCCTCATGCTGACAAAAGACTCTTGGCTTCCCAATACGTGCTCATAGACAGCGAGTTACACAAAAGGGTACCTAAGGGTCGAGCTCTCTTATGTGTAGGGAAAAAGGAAGCCCAAAGAGCTATGAGGATAATCCACGAAGGCATTTGTGGAACCCATGTTAATGGCAAAATGCTAGTCCAAAAGATAATGCGAGAAGGATATTATTGAACTACCATGAATAGGGATTGTCATCAATATGTAAAAAGATGCCCTAAGTGCCAAATTTACACTAACTTACAACATGTTCCTCCGTCTCTACTCTACACCTACACTTCACCATGGCCATTCTCTACATGGGGAATTGATATTATTGGTAAAATAACCCCTCCTGTGACAGGAGGTCACGAATACATCCTAGTAGCAATTGATTACTTCACAAAGTGGGTCAAAGCACAGTCATATGCTAAACTCGCTGCAAAACATGTAGCACTCTTTATCGAAAGGAATATTATTTGTCGATACGCACTAGTGGAAAAAAATTCATTTGTAACGGCTCATTTGTAACGAGCATAATGAAATTCGTTACAAAAAGTGTATTTGTAACGAGCAAAATATATGTCCGTTACGGAAAAAACTCATTTGTAACTGACAAATAAATGCCCGTTACGAATATTTTATAATTGTAACGGACAAAGAAATGTCCGTTACGAATAGTGGATATTTGTAACGGACAAATACAAAGTCCGCTACACCTAAATCAAGCAGCTAGGGTTTTAAACTACTCCGTATTATTTTGCAGCCGCACACACACACACTCTCTCTCCTCTTATGTTCTTCCTATCTCTCTTCTCCTCCTCTTTTCGCCTTTCTCCCTCTATCCTCCTCTTCACTTCTTCCTCAATTCAAGATCGAGTTGGTTGGTCCTAGCAACGGCGCAAGGAGTTGATACAAACCCATCACCTTTCATCGTTTCCCCCTCTCGAAATGATCGATGTTCTTGAAGGTTAATGCTTTTTTCTTCTTTTCTGTTTAAATTATTTCATTATTTTCATGTTTTTTGAGTTTTTGTTTTGCTCAAATTTACAATTTCATGGTCTTCTAACCAAGGGTTTTTTTTAATTTTTTATTTTCGATTTTAATTCAATTTTTCTCCAAAAAAATTGTGGCTTTCTCAATTACATGCAGCACTGCAAATTACTAAAATTTGACGACATTTAAATGTCAGTATTTCTTGAAATTATATATATCTGCGTTTCTTAGCTTTCGAATTATTGACGTTCATTTGAAAAGGTTAATGTTTTATTAAAATTTATTTTTATTTTTCCGTCGTTGATGTTTGTCCTCGATTTTATACTTGTAATTTTATTTAGATTTTTTTTTTAATTTGATGCGTGATTCATTGAATTTATAGATTATTGGGATGATTTGTGAGTAAATTGGGTAAAAATAATTGATTATTGATGGTCGATCAGGGTTCAATTTATCACTTAACTTCTTTAAATTCACAGGCCACAAGATTAAATAAGGGATATATCCTTGTATTTTGTGGTGTTTTGATTTCATGATACAATTACTTTTCTCTTAAAACAGACAACCTTTTTAGTGCATGTTAATAGAGCTCACGAATTTAGTTGGTGAGTGGATTTATTATATGAGATTTTTGTAAATAATTGGTGGGAAGGTGGGGAAAGAAGAAGATTTCTTATCAAAATAAAGTGTGAATTTTGATATCCTTTTCACATGTTAATATTGGGATACAAAATTAATTCTTGAAGCTTGTCACTTCTATGTTGAATATTGTATATTGCAGGTGGCTTTACTGAAATTTACAAGATACAAAATTATCAACAAAATTTTAGACGCTAGAAAAGCATTTCTCAATATAATCTGATATATTTCTTGGGTAATCTTAAGGAAAATTTGAATTTTGGTACCTCGAATATAGGGGTAATTGAATTTTAGTACCCATCTAAAATTTTATTTTAAATTAATACCTCCAAAAGTGTAACTTTATAGATTTTGGTACCTCCGTCCATGTTCCGTTAAGTTTTCCGTTAGTGGGGTCCATTATCTAATAATTTAATAATTTAAATTATTAAAAAAAAAACATTTAAAAAAAAACTAATAAAATAAAAAAACAACCCACGAACCCACCACCAAGCCACGGCAGCTGCCGCCGCGGACAGGCACGAAGCCCAGCCACGGCAGCTGCGGCCAGGCACGAAGCCCAGCCACGGCAGCTGCGGCCAGGCACGAAGCCCAGCAACAGCTGCTGCCGCCGCGGCCAGGCACGAAGCCCAGCCACAGCAGCTGCCGCCGCGGCCAGGCATGAACCCCCAAAACCCACAACCCACGAACCCCACCACACCCCACCCATGAACCCCACCACAACCCACGAACCCCACCACACCCCACCACCCACCACCCACGAACCCCCAAAACCCACAGCCCGACAACCCATGAACCCCTAAACCCACCACCCACAACCCACGAACCCAGAAACCCACCACCCACAAACCGAAAATCCCGTAACCCACCACCCACAAACCGAAAATTTAACCCTAAAACCCTAAAAATTGATTTGGGGGAAAGGGGGATGTGGTGGTTTTCGGGAACCTCGAGGCAGCCAAGAGTGAGGAAGAGGAGGGAAGTCGGCGATGGGAAAGGGAGGGGGTTTTCGATGTGGTGGTTTTCAGATCGTGGCGTGGGGAGTGGCGTCGTGGAGAGGCAAGGCTGGTGGGGGGGTTGGCGTCGTCGCGGGGAGGCAGGCAGCTAGAGTGGGGGTGGCGTCGGGGAGGCAGGGCTGGGTGGGGGGGTGGCGTCGGCGCGTGGAGGCAGGGTGGGTGGCGGGGAGGCAGGCTGGGTGGTGGGGAGGCAGGGCTTGGTTTTTGTTTTTTTTTTTTTTTAAGTTTTTTTTTTATTTTTTATTCTTTATTTTTAAGTTTTTTTTTTTTATTATTTTTTAAGTTTTTTTTTAATTAAATGTTTTTTTCTTTTTTTTTAATAAATTAAATTATTAAAGAATTAGATAATGGGACCCACTAACGGCAAAGTTGACAGAATGCTAACGGAGGTACTGATATCTATAGTTTAGTCATTTTTGAGGTACTAATTTAAAATAAAATTTTAGATGGGTACTAAAATTCAATTACCCCCATTTTCGAGGTACCAAAATCCAAATTACCCTAATCTTAATAAGTAGACTCAAAATCTAATTATAAAATGTAAGTTATTAAGGAATTCTTGTAAAGATAATTAATATAATCTGCATTTGTTATGCAAGTATCATTCTTTGTTAAGCATTATGGACTGGAGTTTAATCAGTCTACAATTACAATATTTACATTGCCTGCAAGAAGCATATAGCTGAAGCATGGTGTGTGTGTGGTCTGTGTGTGTGAAGCATGGTGTGTGTGTCCGTGTTTTTTTTCCTTCTCGTGCCTTAGTAATTATTTACAAGGATATTAGAGTTCACACTTTAGCTGTTGTACTATTTGTTTAATTGATGCAAGTTATTTTTGTCAAAGGGATTTCATATGAAGAATTTGGTTGGTGATATAAGTAGTAATTATTAGGGTATATAGATTATACTCGTTCTTTGATCTCAATTCCAATTATTATTATGGCTTCTCTAATAGAATACTACAATTCTTTTTTAACTATTTGTATTCTTGATCTCAAATTGCAGGAATCAAAAGGCTAGAATTTGGTTGCCAAGGAAGCCATGGAATTTGAGATCAAAGTTGGAGCAACTCGGAATAATGGTGGAAGATGTAAATGATTCATAATTAATTTAGTGGAAAATAATTTAAATCTCTTATTACCATTGAGATTTGCTTTTGCTCTATTTTTTACTGTAATTATAACTTATAAGGTGATAACGAATGTAGGCTTTTGGCCTTTTGTGCTTGTTGTATAATGTGTATGAAGTATAGTTGATGCAATCCTCTTACAAACACTTCACTTTAAGACACAAAATGTGGCAATTTTGAACATTTGGTGTTTGCAAAAAGTACACGATCTTTTAATTTTGAGAGAAATTAAATGCTTTTTTGATAGGTTTGAAGAAGGCACAGAGCAATTCAGGTTGAATGTAGCTTTACAGAGGAGTCAATTTGGTGTTTCCTTTGTGAAGCTCGACTATATGGGGTTGATGAAGCTAGGAAACGTTATCTTGAGGTTAGTTTGTTAAAATTCAAGTTCTGAATGCTTGCAATTGAATGCTTAAATGTCTATGAACACTTCTGTTACTGTTTAGTGATTACCACTAGTTCTGTTTTCTGTATCTGATTAACCATGACTGAAATCAATCATTACCTTGTTTTTTTTCATTGAATAATTTATAAATGAAATTACAAAGCTTTGAAATTGAATGGTTTTTATGTAGCTAAGCGTTGATTAGTACTATATTATAGATTTATAGTTGCTAATGTGCGAAATAAGTTGGATAAATATAAAACTTGATTTATACTTGAGACCCTACAAAATGTGCTTATGAAATGGAATTTGATTATTGTGGATTTTACTGACTTTAAACTGCTGTATAGAAGTATGGGAAATTCTACATCATACCCCTGAGGTATTGACTATTCCACGTTGTACCCCTCCCTTTGAAAAGTTCCACGCGGTAACCTCAAGGTCTCAAAAGTGATTAAGCTGTACCCCTGCCGTTATCCCTCCGTTACATGTTGCTGTTAGTGGGGCCCACTTCACACCTATTTATTTTTTTTTCTCGATTTTCGTGCTTAATAATGTCCTATTACAGGTTTTTAGGGGTCATTTTAGCTTTTAAGGGACCAAATTGAGCTCGAATTTTGCAAAAAAGTAACGTAAAAGCCCCGTTTTATGAATTTTAAATTTAACTATTAGAATTCAAATTCACAAAACGAGGCTTTTATGTTATTTTTTTTTTTACAAATTCCAAGCTCAATTTGGACCCTTTAGGGCTAAAATGACCCTTAAAACCTTTAATGGGACATTTTTTTAGCACGAAAATCGAGAAAAAAATAAAATAGGTGTAAAGGATAACGACAACATGTAACGGAAGGATAACGGCAGGGGTACAACTTAATCACTTTTGAAACCTTGAGGTTACAGCGTGGAACTTTTCAAAGGGAGGGGCACAACGTGGAATAGTCAAAATACCTCAGGGGTATTATGTAGAATTTCCCTAGAAGTATTATATTGAATTCTGAAGGCTATTATTGTTTGAGGAATGAGTTTTCAAATTTTTGGAATGAATAAGATACCTACTATATATATATATATACTTGCTAATGTGCGAAATGAGTTAAATAAATATAAAACTTGATTTATACTTGAGACCCTACAAAATGTGCTTATGAAATGGAATTTGATTATTTAAACTGCTGTATAGAAGTATTATATTGAATTCTGAAGGCTATTATTGTTTGAGGGATGAGTTTTCCAGTTTGTGGGATGAATAAGATAGCTACTATATATATATATATACACACAATGTATATATATATACATATATACACATATATTTATATATATATATATATATATATGTACATATATATATAAATATATGTAATATCACTAGTTGAAAATATCAAAAAGGCACCCCCTAATTGGCACCGGTTCAGTCCAAACCGGTGCCAAAAATGGCCTACAAAATTGGTGGGAAGGTAAACCAGAGTAAAAGGCACCGGTTCACTTCAAACCGGTGCCAAAATCATAAAGGCCACCGGTTTGAACCGTTGCCTTTGTGAACCGGACCTTTTATTATTTTTTTTAAAAAACCGGCCTTATCTCTCCTTAAAACCCTAAAACTTAGCTTGCTCCTTCTCTCTCCTCTCAGTCCGCCTCTTTCATCACTCTCTCCTCTCCCTTCTCGATATCTCCTCTGCTCTCCCTTAATCTCTTCTCTTTCTCTTCGAACCTCTTATCTTTCTCTTCGAACACCACCGCAACAACACCTTCTCGATCTCTCCTCTGCTCTCCCTTAAACCGCAACAACAACATCATGCAATAATAAACCGCAACAACAACAACATGCAACAACATCGCAAAGCCGCCGCCACCATCGTCACATCAAGTTGATTTGGGTTTGTTCGAAGTTGATTTTGGGTTTAATTGATTTGATGAGTGTCTTCGAAATTTTTTATGGGTTTCTTTAAAAAAAAAATTGTTTAATCCACCACGAATTAAATTTTTTTTATTGATTTATTTTTTATTTTAATCGATTTAAATTTGTTTTTTTAAAGTGATTTTCGATTTTCTAGTTTGGTTAATCAATTTTTAAACTTATTTTAATTCGAATTTTTTTTTTAATTTCTGGGTTTTTTAGTCGATTTTTTTTTTTATTTTCTGGGTTTTAATTGATGTTCTGGGTTTTAATTGATTTTCTGGGTTTTATTTTCTGGGTTGTAATTGATGTTCTGCGTTTTTGAACTGATTTTCTTTCTTTTTTTTTTCCGATTTTCTGGGTTTTTTTTTTATTTTTGAACTTTTTTTTTTTGGATTTTCTGGGTTTTTATTTTTTTATTTTTTCCGATTCATTTTCTTTTTTGAACTGATTTTCATTTTCTGGATTATTCTTTTCTTTTTTTCGATTTTCTTTTTTTTTTCGATTTTCTGGGTTATTCTTTTCTTTTTTTTTTTCGATTTTCTGGGTTTTTGAATTGATTCATGTTAATCGATTCATTTTGGTTGTTTTAATTGGTGTAGGTATATGGATTTAGTTCTTAAATTGAAGAATCAACATGCAAGTATATTGATCTTATATCGAAGAATCAACTGATTTTCTTTTTTTTTTTTATTTATATTGTAATTTTTTTTTATTTATATGTTGTAATTTTTTTATTTTGATTTAGCTGTTGTAATTTATTTTGCTTTATACTGTAATTTTTTTTTATTATATGTATATATATATAATGAACAGATTTGATTATATTAATATTTTGGCACTTTTGGTTATTATTAAGATTTGATTATACTGTAATTAATAATGAACAGATTTGATTATATTAATATTAATACAGATTTAATTTTTAAGTAAAAAAAAAAAAATTTATATGTTGGCACTTTTGGCACCGGTTAACCGGTGCCAAAAAATGAATCATAAAATTTTTTGGTACTTTTTGGCATCGGTTAACCGGTGCCAATTTCAAGTTTTGGCACCGGTTTGAACCGGTGCCTTTTTAAACCCTTTTTTGGCACCCCCCACATTGGCACCGGTTCAAACCGGTGCCTTAGGCCGGGTTTGAACCGGTGCCTTAGGCCGGGTTTGAACCGGTGCCAAATTCGTTTTTTCACGTAGTGTGTATATACATATATATATACATATATATATATATACATACATACATATACATACATACATACATATACATATATATACATACATATATATATACATACATACATATATATATATATATATATATATATATATATATATATATATATATATATATATGTACGCCAGTGTCATAAAATGTATTTCTGCCAAAAAGATGTGATGGCTGCTTGTGTAACCGGAGGTCTAAAGCTACATCTGTATTTTAAAGAATTTACATACTGATTGGGTCTTTAGGCTATGTGATGCATATCCAATTTTTTTATGTCTTTTCTGAATGCCTTTCGTGCATTTATTTCAAAAATTGAACTCTTGCATTCTCCATCCCTGCTATTTGTTTTTGTCTTTAGGATCCTTAGTGCACTTGTACTTTGGTGTAATAGGATACTGTTATTTTCTTTTAGTGAAGGAATCCACATAAAGAACTTGATACTTAATGATCTTTATTATCATCTGCTAGGAGAGTTGGAGGGACGTGACATTGAGCATGGTGCATTCAAGGAGCTTTCCCGGTTCTTATCTAGCTCAAATCTTCTGCAAACTTACCAGAAGAAGTGTGTTAATGACTACTCAGCAGGAGCCAACAATGCTTACCTATTTGATCTTTGGCGCCTCCAACGTGACATTGGCCTTTATTTTTGGGATTGCTCGGAATGGAAAGCGTTAAAAAAGATAGCGGAGAATACATTGTTTTATGTGCAGCGTGCCAACTCCATGTTATTAATCCTCAGTTCAAGCTCCCAGCGTGCTAGCTTTTGTAACAATTTTAACTCTCGATATGGGGGATGTAAGTTTCTGGCTTTCCTTACTTTGCTTATGTTATCATTATCTGAGTTTTGGGTAAGTTCTGCATAGTCATAAAAGATTTGATTACTTTGATTAGTTCTTTAGTGTGGTTCTTAAGGATAGCCATCTGGAATGTGCATTTGCCCACTTCTCTGTGAGTGATCAGTGAGCATTTATCTTCTATGATTTCAATTGTTCAATTTGGTTGAATTCTGCAATTACATGTTTACTTCTATAGTGTCTATTTTACAAACATGCATTGAACAATCCTCAATCCTTTTTTCTAAAGGTTTTTTTTTCCTATTTCCAATTGGTCTTTTTAATTACTTACTCTTCTTCCTCCCAATTTCATATTTCTACTTCAAATTGAGCTCACACCCTCAATTATCCACCATCTCTATCAAGTTCAAATGCCCGTGTCGCTGCTATTGTCGTAAACCAGGTCAGTGAGAGCTGGATTACAGTTTTCATAATGAATAATTGATACTGAAACAATCAGTTAATTTTGCTAGAATAATTTTCATTCTATACTCAAACAAATTTTAGTTAATGAACTTGCATAAATTTGATAGAATAAGTTTAATTAATGAACTTGCATAAATTTTCTTAATTTTATTGGGTTTATATCTTGTATTAATTATGTGATATTTATTTTAAAAATGGGTTGAACTTTAGTACTGAACTTGCATAATTTTGCTTGAAAAGGGGTTTATTGTATAGACGCTCAGATACTAGGAGTCGTCAAGCATTGATTGATAGACAGCCGACTTTAGCGCGCAGAGCTGCAGAACATAGAACTTGGTATAGCTAAAAAGGTTAATTAGACCCTTGCTGGTTTTCTGATATAGAATTCAGAAGTTCATTGGCTAAATTATGGGATGCTACTTTTGCTTTCCTTTATCATCATCTCAAAGTTATAAAATATCATATGACAGACTTTATGTTGCTATAAAATGAACCACATCTGACAACTATTTCAATCATCCTACATCAGGATTGAATGTAATCACTCATCCTTACTCGTGAAATGTATTTGATTATTGTGAATCTTATCGACTTTAAACTGCTGTATGAGGTATTATATGTAAATTTTTTGTTACTGGGTTTGATTACCATATAATAAACACATACAATTTCTTTCACAAGTTGTTATTCTTTAGTTCAAGATTGGGGTTCCTGATAAAGTGCGCTCTATATATGTTTTTTTCTTTTGTGTATTTTTGCGATTTTGATTATGATTTTTTATGGTTTGGAGTTGTGATTAGGTGAGAAGGTAAGAAGGGTTTGGGAGCTTAGCTTGATTATGCTGAAGAGGCTTAATTTTCCAAAAGGTTAACAACAATAGGGGGGTCTTTGCGCTATTGCTCAGTGTGGGTCTCTTCGTTACAAGCTTCTTGAAGTCGCTCTGCTGTTAGAAGGTATATAGATTGTTAAACATCCGTTTGTTTCATTGAATTACTTGATTCAAATTGACACAATTTGGGTTTCTTTTGATTTATGGATATGTTTCTTTTTAGGGTTTATTTGAGGAATGTTTTGGGTTCATCTAGAGTTTGCCACTCGACTGTCATCCCTGCTGCCCCACCATATCCCGTGCTCCTCCTCGCAGCTTAGTTTTCTACTGTAAAATAATTGAAGTAGTGTTGTAGTGTTGAGCTAGTTGATTATTTTAATTATTAGGTGATAATTATTAGCTTGGTTTTCTACTGTAAAATATTTTTTTTATTTTAATTATTAGGTGATAATTGAACTTTGATGATTGTATATGAGATTTTCTACTGTACCATGCATTAAACATAATTTCTCTCATTAGTTAATTCATAAAATGATTGTGCAAGCAAAGCTATAAGAAATCCAGCATGAATGTGCTGGATTTTTTTTAAAAATTGGGCACACATTATTCGTAATGGGTAGATACATGCATGTTACAAATAACAAGGTATTCGTAACGGGCAAAACATATGCCTGTTACGAATAACAGGGTTATTTGTAACGGGCTTTTGGATGCCCGTTATGAATAACGGGATTATATGTAACGGGCTTTTGGATATCCGTTACGAATAACGGGGTTATTCGTAACGAGCATTTGCCCGTTACGAATAAGTTATAATTTGTAACGAACGGTGCCCGTTACGAATAACAATGCCCATCCGTAATGGCTGCATATGTAACGGACGCTGCCCGTTACGGATGGGCCCTTTTTGCCCGTTACGGATGGCCTTTTTTCCACTAGTGACGGAGTCCCACATGAGATGATAAGTGACAATGGAACTCACTTTCAAGCAGAATGTGAAGAATTGTTACAAAAATACGGCATTCAACACCATCACTCTCCCACTTATAGACCTCAAGCAAATGGAGCAGTTGAGGCGGCTAACAAAAATCTAAAGACTATTATCGAGAAAATGACAGAAAATTACAAAGATTGGCCTGACAAACTCCATTTCGCACTTTGGGGTTATTGCACGTCAATCCGTACATCAACAAGAAATACACCATTCTCCTTGGTTTATGGAATGGATGTCGTACAACTTGTAGAGCTAGAGATACCGTCTCTACGCATTGCACTAGAAAGTAAACTCGACGAAGTCGAATGGACTAGAGCAAGATATGAAGAGCTAATTCTACTTGATGAAAAGCGACTGGAAGCTCTACATCATACCTAATGTTGTATGGCTAGGCACTTTGATAAGAAGGTTAAGACAAGAAACATCAAAGTAGGAGACTTGGTGTTAAAAGCTCTAAGGAAAAATGTTTTGGATCCAAGAGGCAAATTTAGGCCTAATTGGTCCGGACCATATATCGTCAAAACCATTCTGTCAGGAGGTGCAGCAAAACTAACTTATATGGATGACAATAAATTCTAAAACATGACGAACCTTGACCAACTTAAAAAGTACTACCCATAATTACTTGAGTAGGAAACTCAAGAGAGCTACGTTTGGCCTGATTCCTTAGAAAGGATACGTAGGCAACCCTTTATAGGGTGCAGCCACTTTAATCTTCGCAAACCTTACATCCCAAGAGCAATAGAAATTCGACGGAATAACAGCACCACAGAAAGAGGTATGTCGCCGGCCGACAGACTGCAGCGTAAAGCGATAGAGCCTGTCGCTCGGCAAAAGGCAACAACAGACGCAAAACAGCGGCGCCGATTTTCTGCAAATATCTGGGCAATTTTCGGTGTATTTCGGAAAATTTTCGACTTCCGTAGTCGAGAAAATTTCTAAAAAATAAAATAATTTAAGTTGTTTTCATTGCTTTAATAAATTAAATTTAAAAGTTAATTTAATTAAAAAAGCTGAAATGCCATTAATAAAATAAAGTAAAAAATTACATTATTGATGGAATTCAAATAAAAGCTTAATAAAATAAAATTAACTTTAAATTTAAACTAGTCTAATAAATTGGAAGTTAATCAATGCTTCAATCTTTCTTCTCTTTCTTTGCCCTCTTCCAATTTTTAACTACATCCTCTTCATCATCCATGACTTTAGCTACTAGGCATCCCTTAGTGAACCTACATTCAATTTTTAGAGTAAATAGTTTCTCCCTTAGCTAGGACTCCATGTTTCTTTTCTACCCTGATGTGGATTTAAACCCCTTAACTTAATAAAGAATCTAAAATCACACAAGTAACACAAGCCCTTCGAATTTCCTAAGAAAATCGAACAACTTAAGAATAACGAACCGGATATGACTTTGAAAACGACCACTCCTGGAACGAATTCAACGTCTCTCAAATTACCTAGACCACTCCTGGAACTAAGTACTTTGATGAACAAAACTTAGACTACTCCTAGAACTAAGAATTGAACGTTCTAATTATCAAAACAACTCCTTGAATTGAAAACTAGCAAAAGAATTTGTAAGCAATTAAGCAAAACAAACAATAAACTTGAATTGAATTTTCTGGTTTTGGTTGTGTATCCAAAGCCACGAAAAATCCCTTATTTATAGACTAAACTAACTATTCCTAAGTCTATTCGAACTAGGAAAAAAAAACCTAGCCTTGATCCCCAAGTATCCTAGATAGAATAGGAAAACCAATTCTAATGGAACTAGGAAACTAGTAATAAGACTAGTTCTAATTAAACTAAAACTTCTTAAAACAATTCCTAATTGACTTAGAAATTATTTTAAACTAAAATAACAGAAATTAAGAAGATTCCTAATTGCTTAAACCAAGAAAAACCCTTTCAAGTGAAAGGTAAAAACTTGCAAGCAAAAACTCTAGAAAAAACTAAGTTAGGAAAATCTTTCTTTTCGTACTGCCGCCGAACCACCGTCTCACGCGCTGCCATCATCGACACGCGCCCCACCAACGTGTAGCTGGACTCAGGCCGGAGCTAGGGAGCCGGCGCGTGGCACCCAGATCGGCGCGTCGCCGCCGCTGCCGTCGTCGGAACCCAACTGGACCTTGACTTCTTCTTCAATGGCTGCGCATGTTAACCATTCTTGATTCTTTACTCCAAGCTCAAACCCTATTGGCCTTAAAACCAATATGATTGGCTCTTCAAAAGAATTTCCCTCTTGATCCACATCATTCTCCCCCTCTTCAAAAGAATTTGTCCTCAAATTCGCATCATCCATGTAAGGAGAACAATTCCATGAAACCATCCAAATTCGACGAATACAAGCCAAAAGAACTATTACCTCAACGCTAGCAATTTTAAGCAATGTAACAACATCACCACGAGCAAGGCAATATTTTAGAAACAACCAATTCTCAATTTGGTCCTTGGTCTTCGAAGTTGACCATAAGAACACTTTAGGCTTCATGATATTTTTCTCATGTATGACTAACAATTTCTTCTCTTTATGCATGCCTAATGAATCCACCACTTCTAAAGAAACCATTAAATTATTATCTTGATTCACGAATGGCTCCTCAATAGTATCAAAAACCTTTTCCGACACCACCATTGGTAGATCATTATGAATAATCTGATCTTGAACAACGTCACACACAATTGGAACATCAATTGTTTCATTCACCTTTTCTTCGAGCTCTTTAGCACCTACATGTTCCTCTTCCTTATCCTTTTGACAATCTTCCTCCATCTCTTTAACTTTAACGCGGCATGGAATAATAGTTAAAGGAATAAGTTTGAACCTCTTGTTTCCCACCTTGACCGAATATGTGTTGGCCACACCATCATGTTTAACATGTCGATCAAATTGCCATGGTCTTCCTAAAAGAACGTGACAAGCACTCATAGGAATCACATCGCACCATAATTCTTCCTTGTAATTGCCAATGGAGAAATTCACCAAAGCTTGTTGTTCTACATGAAAACCCATAGAATTATCTAGCCAACCCAACTTATATGGTTTTTCATGATCTCTTGTAGGAAGTTGGAGTTTAGTAACCATCTCTGTAGACGCTACATTGGTACACGAACCACTATCAATGATCACCCTACAAGTTCTATCAACAACTTTGCATCGAGTATGAAACAAACTATCTTGTTGACCTTGAAAAATAATTTCTTCATGTAAATTCAGTCGCTCCATAAGCATATGTTTGTTACCAAAGCAAAAATCTACGTTATCATCTTCATGTTTTTTCTTCTTTTTATGACCTTGAAGTAACTTTGCAAATTCATCCATAAGTTTGCTCAAAGCTTCGTCCATAATTATAAGACAAAAACAGACTTAAAAGACCCCAAAACACACAGGAATAACCCTCAAAAATCGCAACACAACTTGGAAGAAAATCGCACACAAAGAGCAGTAAGTATTAAATCGGACCAAAACTGACACAGTTGCGGAAAACAGTCCAGTTTAATAGCACAAGAACTCGAAAAATTCCGAAATTTCACAGGCAGAAAGTAGACAAAATTTCACCCAAAATCAAAAAAAGAATCACCTGAAAAGACCTTGTAACGAAGGAGAACGAGCCTTCTGAAGTTGACAGAAAAACTGGTTATCCGAGAACAAGTGCGATTTGATGAACGAATTGTTGAACGATCAAAAACCCCTGAAATCTGATACCAATTTGATGTGGTATCACACAAGCTCTGATACCAATTTGATGTGGATTTAAACCCCTTAACTTAATAAAGAATCTAAAATCACACAAGTAACACAAGCCCTTCGAATTTCCTAAGAAAATCGAACAACTTAAGAATAACGAACCGGATATGACTTTGAAAACGACCACTCCTGGAACGAATTCAACGTCTCTCAAATTACCTAGACCACTCCTGGAACTAAGTACTTTGATGAACAAAACTTAGACTACTCCTAGAACTAAGAATTGAACGTTCTAATTATCAAAACAACTCCTTGAATTGAAAACTAGCAAAAGAATTTGTAAGCAATTAAGCAAAACAAACAATAAACTTGAATTGAATTTTCTGGTTTTGGTTGTGTATCCAAAGCCACGAAAAATCCCTTATTTATAGACTAAACTAACTATTCCTAAGTCTATTCGAACTAGGAAAAAAAAACCTAGCCTTGATCCCCAAGTATCCTAGATAGAATAGGAAAACCAATTCTAATGGAACTAGGAAACTAGTAATAAGACTAGTTCTAATTAAACTAAAACTTCTTAAAACAATTCCTAATTGACTTAGAAATTATTTTAAACTAAAATAACAGAAATTAAGAAGATTCCTAATTGCTTAAACCAAGAAAAACCCTTTCAAGTGAAAGGTAAAAACTTGCAAGCAAAAACTCTAGAAAAAACTAAGTTAGGAAAATCTTTCTTTTCGTACTGCCGCCGAACCACCGTCTCACGCGCTGCCATCATCGACACG